TAGGGAAAGGGCTCCGTTATTCCCGTGTCACACTTGGCTTCCCTGCCCCTTCTCTTGATTCCAGGGCTGCCGCTGTCCACGTCGGAGAAGCTGTTCCGTTTCCACGAGGCAGGGCTGTTGCTCGCTGTGGTGGGGAAGCTCTCCTTAGGGGGGTTTCTTGCTTTTGGTCTGGGCTTCTCCGAGTTCCTCTTGGTCTCCAGAACCTCCAGCCTCACTCTCTCCATTGCTGGCATTTTTAAGGTATGGCGCAAAGATCCCCTGACAGTGCAGCCTGGAGCAGCCCCGACAGCGCCAGAGCAGTGAACCCTGCTCAGGGGTCCCTGATGCCCCCCGGCTGGAGCTGCCACCCCCTGCCCTGCAGATCTGTCTGCTTCCACTGAACTGGCCTCTTGCGATGCCCCTGCCTGCCTTCCATTGGGACCCTGCAGCAGCGAAGGGCAGAGGCCAAAGGCTCTCCTGCCAGAGGGCTCAGGACGTGAGGGGTAACGCTCCGGCTCCAGGGCATGGGACTCGCCTTCGCTAAGGGCTTTGGGTCCCTCCCCTGCGCAGGCAGCCGGGTTCCCGTCTGCAGGGTTCCCTGCCCCCGGAGAAAGCCGGTGCTGGTGACTCTGCGATTGGAGAGTGGACACAACGTCCCGCCTCTGATCTGGCAGATGCTGCGTTTCTTTGTATCCTGGGCTCCGCCCCCGAGCGCCAGTAGCCTCGTCTCTGGGGAGGGAGCAGACCCCCCGGGTGGTGCGTGCGGACACCGGGCCGCATGGATCAGCCTCTCCTTGGTTTCTCCAGCTTCCTGCCCTGCCATCTGACCCGTTCTCTCTGTGTCAAGGAAATCTGCACTTTGCTGCTGGCCACTCGCTTGCTGGGAGACCGCCTGACCCTCCTGAACTGGGTGGGCTTCGCCGTCTGCCTCTCGGGAATCTCCCTGCATGTCACTCTCAAAGCCTTCAGTTCGAAGGGTAAGGTTGGGCACCTGGTCTCGGCAGGGCATCTCCAGCCCATGGCATGGCCCTCATGCTGGGCCTGAGGCCTCAGTAGGGAGGGGAGGGACTAAGCTCAGCTGTCTGTGTCTAGGGGAAAAGGAGCCAAAGCCGCACAAAGGGACCAGCTCTAGCCCTGACCTGGAGCTGCTGCTGCGGCACAGTGAGCCCGAGGAGGAAGAGGAGCTACAGCGCTGACTGGCCTTGAGCGCGGCGCCCTGCTCCAGCTGAGCAGCAAACGGGTCGAAGAATCCTGGGCTGCCGGCTCCTCCAGTCGGGCGTGAGAGGCTCTGGAGCTGATGGGCCCACTGCTCAGGTCCCTGGAGCCTGTGGGTGAGCCAGGCAGCGCTGCGCACTTCCCCTTGAGGAGCTGGAAGAGTGGGGGGGATGGGGCGGGGGCCCGCGGACTGTTGAGTGAGGGGCCCATGGGCTGCAGGACTCACCGGGCTCCGGTGTCGGCGCCAACGAGTGAAAGCAGAGGGTCCCCTGCGGGGCTCTCCCCCACAGCTTCGCCGCTCCGAGTCCGTAACGTTCTCTGGAGCTGGGGGTGGTGCAGAAAATCTGGGACTTGCCCCCGTGGGGCAGCCGTTGCAGCCAGGGCTCTCCGGTCCCCGCTCGCAATGGGAAGAGGCTGCTCCCTCTGCCTGCTGGGTTCCGGGGAGGGTATGACCTGCTGGGCAGGGCGTCTGGGCAGCACATTTCTTCATTGAAAAGTTCTGATTTTTCACGGAAATAAAAGACGCCAGCCCCCTCCTCTGCGTGCGGCTGTAGATGTTGTGAGCCTGCTACAGCAACTCCCTCTGCCGCCAGGGGAGCCGGTCCCTCCACCTTGGCACTGTCCTCTGGGATGCTCATGCTTCCGCTTGCCTGGAGAGTCTGTCCCTGCCTTGTGTAGCCAGCGTGGCGCTAGCCTGCAGCCTTGTCCTCTCCAGGAAGTGGTGCAGAGAGCTGCAGGCTGTCTCCTTGCACGGCCCCTCCACACCGGGCCTGAAGCACAAGCAATGCCCTGCTTCCGCCGGGAGGAGGGAGACGCGCACAGGGCCAAGGAGGCGGCGAAGGGTTTAGTGGCAAGGGTTCCAGCGGGAGCTGGTGTGACAGCGCATTGGGGGTCCCCCCTCTCCTGCACCCCCGAAATGGCACGAACAGACTCCGCCAGCCGGTAGAATAGAGGTGGTTTATCACCTCTCCAGGATACAGCACAGCACAGATG